ATATTGTAGTTGCCTCCTCCCTCCCTTCCTTGTCGTCCCCCACCCCGACTCCTCTCCCAGCATCTGAGGGAGCAGGGCTGGGTCAGTGGTTGGACTTGATGATCCCAAAACTCTTTCCCAACCTCAGTGATTCTGTGATTCTGTGAAGGCCCCAGTGCTCTCCTCCCTCCTGCAGAGGAGTTTGGTGCTGGCTCCTGGCAGAGGGAAGGGCCTGGAGTGGGGGCTGTGCCTGCTGTGCCTTCAGCTCTCATCCCGCAGGTGGGTCTGTACCACCAGGCAGAGATAAGGGCACTGGAAATGTCATGTTGCTTTTGGAGGGAGTGAGAGAAGAGCTGCAAAGGGCTGTGTTTGCCTGTGGCTATTTATCTGCCTTTGCAATGATTCTCTTCTCAAATGGCACGGGAGTCCCTGTGAGACAGCAGCTGGCAGGGACAAGGGCACGGCCCATTGCAGGCCACAGGTAGGTGCAGCTTCCCATTTCCCTGTCCCAGCAGAGATCCCACAGGCTCTGCTGCACATCCAAGGAGTGCACTGGCTCCTGGGGCAGCAGGTGGGGGCTGGAGTTTTGCCTACTGGCTGGCAGGGTTCAGCAGACAATGTCCTTCCTGCCTCCACAGCCAGCTTCCCCCAGCTCTCGGGGGAGGCAGGACTGAGGAGCTCTGTGGTGTTGCCTGTGAGGATGCAGCTCCTGGGAGAGGAGGAATTGGCAGGCTCTGGACCCTGCAAGTCAAGCAGTCTTCAGGTAGTGGCACAGATTGGGGCAGGAGGTGAAGGGCAGCCTCACCCTGCTCACTGTTGGCCTCCAACCTCAGGAGGGTTCACAGAGGTCCCCAAACAGGATGGAGACTTGGGCTGCTGGGGTGTGACCAGGGCAGTGCAGACCAGACCCTCAGGGAGGTGGCTGGTCCCTGCATCTCTGTGGTGCTCCAACAGAGCAGTTTAGGACTGGACTCGTCCTGCTGAACCTTTTTTCCCATACCACTTATTCCTCTGGAGGTGGCTGAAGGATCTTGACTGCAAGAGCTGCTGTTGCAGCCTGCAGAAGAGCTGCAGGTCTTTGTTCCCAGGCAGGTGTTGGCAATTATTGCCAATACTGTCTCCAGGAAAAAGACCCTCTGCTCCAAAGGGGTCTGTCTGTGGGCACTGGGGATGCTGCCCTGCCTCTGCCATTTACTGTTGAAAGCTGGTTCATTGCCTGGTTAAAACCTCAATCCCGGCTCAGCCCCTCCAGCTGTCCCCAGAGTGATGCCTTGCCCTGTGTTGTGCCAATGCAGTGCACAGGAGGCTGCAGGTCAGGGCTGCCTGTGTTCAGTGATCCAGAGGGGAGCAGGGGCTCAGATCTGAACACTCTCACTGATGATCCCTTTCCTTCCCTGTGCCTCTAAGTAGGACATCCCGGGACTTTGTGCCACTGCTGTGCAGAACTAGAGGAGGAACAGCAGGCAGGGGTGGGGGTGGGAAGCAGGGGAGGGAGCTGGATGAGAGGGCTCTCTCCAGGCAGCTCAGGGAGGGAACCTTCACCTGCTTCCAGAGAGCACGTGTGTGGCACCCAGAGCCACCACAGAGCTGTGGCCACTGCTCTGGGCAGGTCCTTGCCCACATGAGTGAGCTGAGGCCATGGAGCTGGGCTGAGCTGCTCTGGGATACCTGCCAGGGTCACTGTGGTGAAGAGTTCATGTGGATCAGCTCATCACTCGTTCTGGGAAGGGCAAAGCACAAGGTTAAAGCAGTGCCAGCTGTTGTTTGTGACAGAGGGGTGGCAGCTGGGCAGTGCCAGATGTCAGTGGCTGAGCTGAGTGACCTCTGCCTCGCCATGGCCATGGGGTGCTCAGCCTCCAGTGCCTGTGGAACAGGCAAGGGGAGAGGGGACAGGAGAGCTGCAGGGCACAGTGAGAGTCCTGCTTCACTAACAACTCTCTTGCCAATTAAATTACCTGGCTGTAGGCTGGCTTTGATGCACAGCTTAGAGAAAGCAGTCACTAATCCACTAAGTCAAATCCTGTTGCAGCAGCACTTATTTGTGCCTTTTAACAATCACAAAGGTTTCATTTTACTTGATTTCATGTCCTGTCTGTCGCTCGACCTTCAGGACTTCAGGGGACAGGGCATGCTTTGATTTTAATGAAGCCTTTTCTTTTCAGCTGCCCAGAGCTCTTTGGCAGTGAGAAGAGCTCGAGGGTTCTTCTGGATGCAAGAAAACAGCCACAGGCCCTGGGCAGTGAGGTCCAGGGAGGGATGTGGAGTCCTGAGAGGGTGGTGAGGCCCTGGCACAGGCTGCCCAGAGAAGCTGTGGCTGCCCCATCCCTGGAAGTGTCCAAGGCCAGGCTGAACAGGGTTTGGAGCAACCTGGGCTAGTGGAAGGTGTCCCTGCCCGTGGCAGGGGGTGGAGTGGGATGAGCTTTAAGGTCCCTCCAACCCATTCTGTGAGTCTGTGATTTTTTAAGTACTGTCCTATGTGTCATACAGAGATTTTGCCAGGGACACTGGGAGATGGGTGCAGTGCTGGAGTTGCTCAGGAGAGGTTGCCATGCAGTCAGCCCCTCTGTTACAACTCTGGTAAAGGCACCAGAGACAGCAGGACACAACAGTGCCAGCTTGGGCTCCATGAGGTGCTGCACAGCAGGTGCTGGAGAGGGTCAGGGTGCTCACCCTGTGCCAGCCCACGAGGCTGTTGTTTGTCAGAGCTTGGTGGCCTTGGTGGCTCTGCAGAGCCAGGGTTCATGAAGGGGAGGGGCTGTGGGTGCACACACATGGGTATGTCCACAACCCAAACCCAGCTAAAGCTGCTGAGCCTCAGAGCCCATCTGCTGGAACATCACAATTTATAAAATTATGCTTAATCAAGTCACTGACACAGAATGATTGAACTGAAAGCCTTGAGATGGTGCTGCCAGAAGGAGTGGTGGTTTCAGCCACAGGTCCTTTGCTTCAGGGGTGTCCTGGCCTGAACACTTGCCCTGTGCTGAAGGAAAAGGACACTGGAGGGGGTGCTGTGTGGAGCAGCCTTGTCCCAGGGATCAGCCCAGCAACCACAACCAAGAGGTGACACAAGAAAAGGAGCCAGGAGGTACATTTTAAATACTTTTATTTCTTAATTTACATAAAGGTATATATTTGGCTTATTTATCTTTTTTTTTTATACTCTGAGATTCACAATCAATTGCTCTTAAAAAATAAAATAGTCATTTGCTTCTGAAAGAAATCAGAAAACTATTTTATACTCCTCCCTTGTATAACAAGAAAAATATACTAATACTCCCATACATCACATAGTAAAAGTGATTGTAAGTGCTGGTTTACCAAACAATAAAGCAAATGGGGAAGAAAAGAAGCAGCTGGGACGGAGGGTGCTGAGAGAACTCTGCTTCCCAGAGCACAGCCAGTCTTCTGGGGGGTTTAGTCTCACCCTGAGGGTCTCCCTTGGCCAGTCTGAAAGGGGAGAGGCTCCTGGGGCCACCCAGACCTGCCCTGGCAGCGATGGCAGCTGGAGCCACTTGGGTTGGCACTTTGCTGCCTTTTGGGTTATTTTCTTGCCTCTCTGGGCAGTTCCTGCTGCCTCAGTTCCCCTCCCTGTGTACAAACCATTGCTTGGGCAGCGGTGCCAGTGCAGGATCAGCTGGGAGGGGGCAGTTAATGCTTTAGAAAATCCCCTTTACGGAGTGGAGGAGAAGAAAACCTTCTTGTGGGTCACTGAGGGCAACCTGGAACCTCCTTGGTGCCCTCTGGGCACTGCACAGACCCTGGTGAGTGAACCTGACATTGTAGGTCCCACAGACGAGGGGAACTGGGAGGAGCCTGAGCCTCCCTCTCCTAGCCTGGAACATGTGGGAGCAGGGATTCAGGGATCCCTTGGTGCAGGTAAGACTCATTTCTCACTCCCTTGCTTGCTCCCTTTCCCTCTTGTTCAACAGAGCCCACAGCATTTCCTTCAGAAGATAAAACCAGCCCCTGACAGCACCGAGCTCTGACAGGGACCAGGGCCTGTCACAGACAAGGACACTACAAACCACTTCAGCTCCCTTGTCATGGCTGACTCCAGAGAATTAATTTTAAGGAGAATTCCTAACCTCTGAACCTTAGCAGGAATGTTTCATTTTGTTGACAGTAAATGCTACAACAGAGGGAGCCTATTGGAAAAGCAATTTCGGAAATGTGGTTAATCTTCTTTGGTCTCTGAGATGAAATGACTGATTGTTGGGTTGCTTTTTGTTTCTTTTTAAACAGCTTAACAAGGAATTTCTTAACAGGAATCAGAAATTCATGTGCCTTTAAAGCCCAGAGTTTGGCTCCCACACTGCAGAGGCTGAGTTTCCCCTACCAATGTAAACAGTGGCACGAGGTGGGAAGTGAAGCATTGTTTGGGATTTGCTTTGCTTTGTTATTTCTAGCACCCACTTGCTGTTCTCCAGAGGATGCCCAGGCACTCGAGGAACACTTCTGGCTCTGGTTCTTTAGCTAAATCTTAGAGCTGTTGTTAAGGTATTTTGGGTGACAGAGCCTTTGCAGAGGAGTCCTGTGGGGTCTGAGGAGGGGGAAAGGCTCACGGGGTGACAGGAGCCACCTTTGGAACCTGCCTGGGCAGGGACTGGCTGTGGGGTGAGCACCTGGAATCACAACCATCCCCACTGCAAGGCTGTGCTGTAGGTCCCAGCACATCCTGGAAGGGAATGGGAGGTAAACCCAGATTTACCAACAGGACCTTCCTGTGTCTCTGGGCAACCTTGTGGCACAGCCAGGACAGCAGCTTCCAGCTTTAACCTGCATCCAGTCCCAGCCTGGCATTTCCTGAGCTGATTTAGTCCTGCTTGGAGCCCAACTGCAGCCCCTGGTGAGCCACGAGCACAGGAGGGGCCTCCCCCTGCCCGAGGTGTGGGCTGGAGGGGGATCTGACCTGCGGGACAGGGGTGAGCAGGGACAGGATGGGGAGCTCACAGAGCCCCGGGTGAGGCAGCCTGGCCTGGGCAGGGCCTGTGCTCTCTGTGCTCTCCTGCCTCCCCCACACTGCTGCAGCACCCCCCTGGCACAGCATCACTTTGGCTCGTGGAGGCCAAGTGCAGGGAGCAAGGAAACAAAACCCCAGTGAAGTGGCCCCGTGACACGTCCCTGCACTTGAGACTCGCCCAGTTCAGACACTGGCCTTGTCTGAAAGGTCTCAGACGCACCTTTGTGAAGGTACAGGTGACACCCCAGGGAGAGCACTTGGACAGGGCAGGGTTGGGTGTGCAGGAGCCCAAACGCTGCTCCCAGGAAACAGAGTATCAGCCACTGCTTTGGAACACTGACAGGGAGAATTAGCATCGACAGTCCGTGTGATATGGCAGCATGTAAACAAAGCACGAGGTCACTGGCACAGCAGTATTGCACTCCCAGGCCCGAGGTTCAGCCATTCAGCCAGGTGGATTTTGGTATTTTAAAAGCCTGTGAACCTCCCAGGCGAGGCTGAATTTGAAAACTCCAGAGCCCATAGGGATTTCTGTCCAACGTACTGGGCCTTTCTGTGACAACCACCAGCATTCCCAGTGCAGTGAGACTCTCTCTCCTCTGCCCATTGCTCAGCCTCAGGTGACAGGGAGGTCACCCACTGGAACTCTTGCAGGGCACTGAGCCAAGGAGAGCTGTGGACGTTACTCATGTCTGCTGTGGTTGCACAGGCAGCTCCAGGTTTTAAACGTTTAAATAAAAACTGTCTATCTAAATATATATATATATATCTCTCATCTAATGTCTTCAGCAGAGATAAAGCATCTTATGACATATTTAAATAAAAAATAATAATCTGAGTTGAGCCTTCAGTGTCAAAGCAAAGGTGATGTACAGAACGGGTCCCCAGCTAGTGCAGTCGGTGGGTGTGGGAGTGCTGGCAGAGCAGCAGCATTCCATAGGACACCAGTCCTACAAACCATGTGGACTTCATTGGCTACAACCAGAACCATGTACACAATCTACAGTCACTCACGTGGGCAGCACGTTTTGGGTCCGGGGGCCGGTTGCTGATGCCCAGAGGAACAGATGTCCTTGTGCTGCAGCAGGTCCCGTGTCCCCGCCTGCCCTGCTCCATCTCCTGGTGCCTGACCCCGCAGGCTGGAGTGGGGGGGATGGATTTGGTGCTGGAGAGCCCCTCGGGGTGGTGTGGGGCTGGAGGATCCACTGGGATCCAGCACGGAAGGGCTTCGAGCTTGAGATTGGTGTGGTGGGAGCAGAGTCCACGTGTCCTTTCCTTCGGTGGCACCTGGGAACGGGGAAGGGAAGGGGGTTAATGGGGAAGTCACTGGGGTGGATTGGTAAAGGTGTATCCCAGCTTTGGGGCAGGGCCAGCTCAGAGACCCTTTGTCTCTGTGTGAGGAGGGCCAGCAAAGCCTGCCCAGGGTGGAGGCAGCACTTTGGGATGTGCTGTAGCTGTTTGGAATGGGAAACGAATGCCCTGTGATCCAGGCACAGCCTCCTCCAGGAGGTGATGAGCAGCAGGTGCAGCTCCTGTCTGCAGTATTTTGGGGCATCAACCATGTCCTGTTTGCCAGGTGTGGAAGTACAACTGTTCCTGATGAAGCAGCTCAGCAGATTACAGGGATGTTTTTGTTAGGCTGTTTTTAACCCCCTCAGTTTATTGAAGAAAAGAGGCACTGCCTCGTGCCTTAAATTGTCATTTTCCAACCTGCTGTCCCTTGGAGGGCCCAGCAGCACAGGCCAGCTCTGGCTGCTGCCAGGGCAGAGCAGGCACTGCTGGTGGCCCAGGTTGGCTTTGAGGAGCCACTCCTGCACTCTGGGGCCTATCCAGCAGCTTTCCAAGGTAACAGGGCAGGGATAACCAGTTCTCTTACTACAGGATCTCCTGTCAGAGGGTCTGTGCTCCATGTTATGCAAGAAATTGCCCCTGACCTTAAAAATCAGTGACTGCTCAGTTACAGAACAATTCCCTATGACAATGGCCTGGTTTATCTCAACCTGCACAAAACTAGACCAAAAAAGAAGAAACTGCAGTTAAAAACCTTGCTGTGCCCAGGACCCAAGTGGTCACTTTTATAAGGCAAGTCTCAGCAACACCATCTTGTATTTCCTCCCAGATTTGTTGAGCGTTTTGTTTTCTAAAAAAACCCAAAACAAACATAAAAAACCAACCCCCAAACTTTTATCTCAGAGCTACTGATAAATAATAATGTGTGAGCACACATCCAGCCCAGAGCCTGCAAGCTCCTGGCAGCCCTATCCCAGAATCCACTCCCCTCTGTGGAAATAACACATCTGCTGTGCTAGAGATTGTCTGAAATCTTTTCCCTCAAAAGGCCATTCTTAAGTGTCTTACTGAGTTCTGATTTTCTGATTACTCTTTCAGTGCATTTAATTTATGGGGAAAGAAATCTCCTCTTCAAAAAGTTGCTTTGATTAATTCTGGCTCCAGTGAAGTGCTGGGAAGTGTTTGTGACTGTGGGGGAGTGATAAGGACAACATGGACACGAGGGAGAAGGGAGGGCAGCAGGAAGGGGATGGTCCCTGTGGCTCAGAGTTGTCACCCTGGATTGAGGGTGGCAGTGGGGACAGTCCAGCAACAACCTGAAAGATCAGGTGCTGCCAGAAAACAAAGGTTTGGGAGAAGTTAAGAATGGTGGTTTGAGGGCAGCTGGTGCTGGACCCAGAGCAGGGCAGCAGGTTTGGGAACACCAGGGATGTTCTCAGTTCTGGCTGGGACAGTCACACCTGCTGCTGGTCGGGGGGACAGAGGTTACCTGGTCTCACCTGCTCAAAGAAGGGAGCACCAGGTTCTGGAAGCAGCTCAATACCACAAAGGACATTTGAGGTGACCCCTGGGTTCCCCACTCTTGATTTCCTCTGGTTTGAAGGGAGCAAAGGTGCAGACCAGGGCTGGCTAAGGAAACTTCTCTCCAATAATGAGGAAAGGAATGGGTGGGCAGGGGGCTTGGGCCACAGGGGCAGCTTGAAACCTATTGCTGGTTTGGGTCACTCACCGTCTCAGACTTTCACAGAGGCTGGTGGCATCACAAGTTGGTTCACCCTGGGGAAGGGAAAACAAAGGTGTCATGTGAGAGCTGCAATCAGCAAAGAAACAGGTGCCCAATAACCTGGGGGATCCAGGTTTCAGTTGCTTAACAGCGTCTAAAGGAGTGGGACATGAACAACTGTCCTGCACAATGGTATAAAGCTGAAACCCTGTCACACAGGGCTGTCTGACAGCAGCCCTGGCAGTGGCTGGAACATGCCAAGTTGACACTGCTGACATGGATTGACAAGGATTTGGGAAGGTCCCAAAGGCATCCAAATGTAGCGACTGTTTCCCCGAGCCAGAACAAGAGTGTTTGTGCAGTGGCTGGTGCTGTCCTTCAGCCTGACAGCACAAATGTAAACAGTCACCACTGATAAAAATTAAATTAAATTAGGAGAAAAGGATCTGTCTCTCAATTTTTAGCTCCTGAAGGCCTGCTGCTGTTCTGGACACCAGTTCCCAGGTGACGGACGGCACCCGGCGGGGTCTGCAGTGTCACCCCAGGGACAGCTCCTGCTGTGAGAGGATAGCTCCTGTCTGCTCTGTGGGACCCAGGCACAGCAGCAACAGTCCTGCAAAGTCCATCCCTTGGACCTGCTCCTTCTCCTTGCAGTACAGGCCCTGGAAAGTCCAGCCTTCCTCTGCAGCAAACACCTCCCCTCCCCACGCTGCTCGTCCCTCCCGGGGCAGTAACTCAGGGACAGGAGCCCTTTGGTGAACACAAAGGGCCCTGCTGGGGCTGTGACACAGACACGTCACCCTTTGGGACCTGCTCTCTGTCTGGGATGCTCAGTGACCTCAGTGGGAACACCTGGATTCTTACAACAGCACTGGAAAACCCCGCCTTGCTCACGGACCTGCCTCGCCTTCACTGTCCAAGGGCTTGACCCAAAGGCTCTCCTTGGGCAAAAGGAGTATAAATCTGAGGCACAAAGGGAGAGTCTTCTCCTGACACTGGGCTCTGCCAAGTTGAAATAGGAACCAAACTGAGCCAGCAGTGTGTTAGAGCTTTGCTGTCACGTGCAAAAGCAGCTTCTCTCTCAATCAGTGAAACACTTGGGTGGACAGGGAACATCACAGAGACCATCACTGCCCGAGGCCCTGCCAGGTGGGAACTCAGCAAACATCAGCCTTCTTTGAAAGGCTGGTTCACTAAAACTCACCTGGGGCTCTTCACCACACTTTGTACTGACCCTGGACACTGGTTTTTGGCTGAAAAGGTCTGATGCTGGATTCAGACACGTTCCAGGATAAAAATTAACCAGTGCTCAGGGCACACCTTCCAATAAATCTCTGCATCAGGGATTGGCCCAGCTCAGCCCACAGCTCCCAACTCCACACCAACCCCACAGGAAATGTCTCCAAGGTGCATAGAAGCCTCTGTGCCTTCTCTGCCTTTCCAGGCCATAAACTGAAATATTTCTGATGGAAGAGCTGACTCAAGTTCCTTTGTACAATCACCATTCCTGGTAACCCCACTGCACTGGAAAATCACATTGCATTGAACACTGTAGCTGTGCTTTGGTAGCAGAATTCATCAGAGACAAAACACATTACCTGGGAATGCTACAGCCAACTTCAGAGGTAGGAAGTAAGTTATGGTGTGTCATGAAACTGTCACAGAATACTAAAACTCCAGAGGTTTGAATGTGCCAGAATGTTTGGAAGTCATGTCCCTTAGCATGTCATTCCACATTCTTACAGGATACAGAATATACACAGAAAAAGTTAGTTTTGCCATGATTTTGGCACACAGAACCCACCTGCACTGCTGATGGGTGAACCAGAAATACACACAACTTCCAGGCTTTTATTACTTATAGTTCAGCCTCCTATGGGATAAAATGTACCTCCCTTTTATTTTAACACATTTCTCTCGAGTTCTGCTTTATCTCTGTCTCACAGATGGGAACAGAGGCCTGGAGGGGCTAATCCTGAAATGCATTTGGAAGATTTCACGGGAAATTGGACCCCACGTGCCTGGAGAACCTGCTGGGGAGAGAAATGACTTTCAGGGATCACACAGGAAGCTGGTGGGCAGAAGGGAGAACTGAAACAGTCCCCAGGTTTTGGTCAGTGCTGTCCCCCTCCCCTGTGAAGGCCGAGCTGCTCCCGGCTCAGGCACAGCCCAGGTGGGGATTTTGTTTATTTTCTTAAAGCAAACCCACCAATAATAAACTTTAAACTCTCTTAGGTGGCAAAATGTAGTACATGGGCTTAAACTAACAAGGCTCAAGAGCATCTAAATCCCTGATTAAGTCCCACTTGTCTTTCTAATAAAGATAATCCCCCACTGAATGGACCTGCTTCCAACCAGTGAGATCTCACCAGCATTGGCTACTGAATTGTTCTGTTTTCTCTGCAGTGTTTTCTTAAGATTGTGAATGTTTTCATTCCTTGAAGAGAGCAGGGTGGGATCCAGTCTGTTGTTTCCTGAGGGGGAGGAAACTCACCCAAATTGCCTTTCAAGAACAGAAGCTGCACAACTTTTCTTGGTGTTGTTTTTTTTTATGGGCTCCTCCAGCCGTTAAAAATGTGGCTGATTCCCTCTAACCCTCATCACTTCCTCTCCTGTCAAACCTAAATATTTCTCCTAGATCCTATCAAACCATTTCCATGTAGTGTGACAGCACCTATAATTCTGAAGTATTTATAAGCCTGTCTGTTTAATATTAAACTACATGCTCCAGAGCTGTTAAATATTTATGTTATGTAAAATGGATCTAATTCCACAGCACCTCAGCTGGTCAGAGACCTGCAGGAGGAAAAGACAGCAAATTTAAGATAACAGATGAGTGGCCAGGATTTTTTACAGGTCAGCTCTGCTCTATTTCAGGATCTGGGCAGGATTATTCTCTGAATGCTCTGTCCCTTTCAGCCAACAGCTGATGGAGGTTCCAGCACTGCTGGGCAGCCCCCAGGGACTTGAAAGAGCTTTTGCTGCCACATCCAGTGCAAGAATGTTCTGCTCCAGCTGGGCCAGCAAGGGGGAACCCCAGATCTCCCTTCCCACCTGTAGCTCCACCTGCCCCAGCAGGTCAGGGGGAAGCTGTGGGGAGCAGCAGTGGGATGTGTCCCACTGCCTGGAGTCTGAGCCCCAGGGATGTGTCACCTCTGTCCACGAGCTCCAACCCCAGCCAGGAACAGGTCAGGAAGGAGGACACAGCCCAGTGTGTGCAGCACCACCCTGCCCAGGGCTGCAGGAGAAAGGCTGTGCTTCCAGAGAGCTGCTGGGAATGCTGCCAGCCCTGTGAAAGTCACGTTTCACACCCCAGTTAAACACCACCTGTATTTCAGCATCCTGCAGCTTTCCCAGAGCCCAGTTTTCCTGCTATCTAAACAAGCCAGGCTCTGGATTTTGTAATTGAGAAACATATTAGGAAATAATGTCCTGATTTTTACAACCTGCTGTACTTAACATCACTTAACTTTTACAGCCAACAGTAAAATGCTTTGGTGGGGTCCTTCTGGCCTGAAAAGAACTCATTTTTTGAGTTACTGAGCAGGAGTTTTTGAGTATTGACTTTTTGAGCAGGGGCTTGTTCAGCAGACAGGAATGTTGGGGCTACAGGGGCAGCTGGACCACTGGACTTAGCAATTCCTGCCTGTGATTAAGGATCCCTCTTCATTTCACTGGAGAGAATTCTGTGTTTCTGATGTATTGTGCAAACATCAAATGCCTGTTAGAAGCAGCACTTTAGGAAGGGATACAGGTGGACCAGCCTCCAGCAGATTCCTCCCTGTCTGAACTTCCTCAGATGTTTCTGGGGGGGCTAAACCTCTCCAAAAGGCCCTGTGAACACACTGAAACCTGAAATTTTAGGTAATCAAATGTTTACTCAGACTGACATCCTTGAAAGGTAACGGGGGCTTTATGGCCCTAACCTATGAAAAACAGGGAGTTCAAGGTGGGGTGTTTTTTTTGGCATTAAGGAATGAGGGGCAATGCCACCCTCCACCCGTGCCCAGGGATGATGAGCAGCCCAGCCAGGTGCAGTTCTGTGCAGCTCCAGCTGCTGAAACAGCAGCATTCCCATCCAATGTTGGTGTCTGAGCCTGTGCAGGGAGAACAGAGGCCAAGGAGAATCATTGGCAGCTCCACACCCGTCTGACTTGCAGCTGTAAGAGGGAATTTCATCAGCTGATAAATGAACCCAGGAAGGTACTTGCACAGGAGGGCACTGCTGCTGTTGTCACTGTAATTCCTGCAGGCAACAGACCAAACAGTCGTGGAGCAGGAGAGCTGGGAGAGCTCCAGGAGGGGTTTCTTGATCTTCACATGCACACAAACTCCACCAGGGAAGTTAAGATCCACAGGCAGGAGTGATGCTGACAATGTGCCCTCCCTGACATGAGAGCACAAGGGCAGCTGCAGCTGGAAGGAGCAGAGACCACTCAGGCAGAGGAGCATAAAGTGAATTTAGGCACTGCACCAGCCCCCCCTCTGAATTCCAGCTGTGGCTGGGACAGGGGGAAGTGTCAGGAGGTGTTTGTTTTATCCACTGCCTTGTTACTGCAGAGATCAATCGCCCTGAATAAACCCTGGCTGAAGCCAATTGCCAAAACACACACACGTTTTAGTGCACAAAGGAGGGAAGTGGAGCCAAACTTAACAGCCCATCCCACTCCTATTTTCCATCACTGTCAACACCCTCATCAACACAGTCAGCTTGGGGGGACAGAATGCTCATTGCAGCGACCTGCCAGCAATAAACAGGTAACTCAGGACCAGGAAACTCCTGAAGAACACAACCAGCCACCCCTCAGACATTATCACACCTCTCCCGTGCTCTCCACAGACCCTCCTGCTTTGTCTCACTGCGGAGGGATGTAGAACTGCATTTCACTGGGATTTTTCCACGTTTCCCCTGAGGTCTTTGAATCAGTCAAACTCCACTAAACGCTCCGAGTTTCACCCAGCCCTGCCCAGTGCCAGCAGGGGAACGCTGTGGGGCTGAGCTGGTGCAGAGATTTGTGCCCCTGAAACAAAGTCCATGGCTCTTCTCCCCTCT